CTGAAGAGACGATCTTATTACAAGTAATTCCACCACAAAAATCAGAAATACCCAGAGCTCGGCTTTAAACATTCAGAATGAGAAAGAGCTAAAGGTAAAGACAGAGGCCGAGTTTTAGGACACACTCATTCTGAACATCTCCCCTCTTATTAAAATAAATGAACACTTTTAAAAGCAACTATCCTAACCACATCGAATAATTTCCATTTTCTGATCACTCAATGAGTAAGAAAAATCTGACAAAGTGTTTAATGCCAGTTTTTGGTACTAGCCAAGTTTTCAAAGTATTGTGGTAAAGATGTTTTATGAATATCTTTATTATATATTTAAAAATCCCAATCCTAAATTTACCTTAACCAACTCAGATACAAAATACAGCATGCTCTGCACGACTCTCCATGCAAACATGGAAAGGGGCCAAATATTTACACATTATGTCAACAGTACAGTCTGTCTGTGGGTGAGGAGACTTCTTGCACGTTAATATGCGCTGCGGTTTTTGAGCACCTTGCTTTTAGGTTGGTGAGGGTCAAGGACTGAAGATATAAAGCCCACTGAGTCAGTAAATGTGGAATTGAGCCATAATAAATTTTTAAAAGAAGAAAGAAAAAGGTTAGTTCACTTTAGAGTTTTTAAGACTCAGTCTACTGAAACATTTCTAAACCTTTCAATTTCAGCACATTTCAAATATTTTCAGATCTAGTTGATAACCAATAGATACTGTATAATAGAGCTGTGAGGCTGAGAGAGCTAAGGGTGCTATAGAGATAAGGGAGAGGGGGCTGTGATGACAGGGTGATGGTATAACAGTCGGTGCAGCACATCTATCAGCACAGTGCCAAGATTGATGGCTTAAACTGCAGATATTATTACTGCTAATGATTCACCTCAAGTGGCCATTACTCTGCTATGATCCGTCTCCCTTACTTGGAGTTTTTTCACGACTAAAATAGTAAAGTGAAGCGAGACAGACCAGGGAATAAAAGTGGGTGAGGATGGGTGAGGATATGTGAGGCCATGAATATCCATTCAGTGTGCCTTCACGTCTGCCTCTATCTGACCCATCTGTGAAAATATCATCTTTATGTCCTCGGGTTTGGTTAACAATAGTGTCATAGCAGGGCTGCTGCTGCAGTGGTTAAAGAGAATGTCAGTATCTGCTCCCCAAATCAAGAGAGAAAACTGTGTATGACGCAAAATGAAGCTTTACAAATGAGATTTATCACCAGTTGCTGTGACAAGGGAAGCTCTGTGATAGGTTATTATTCATTCCTTGTCTGCGACTGCAGTCGCTAACTTGAGTTAGTATTGTTATTTTATCTGTTTGAATGATGAAGTTACACGAATAAGATATAAAAGCTGCATGGAAGTTGAAAGTCACAAGATCAAACATTGAGGAAGAACCATTGAACAGAGACTTAACAGCTTCGTTACTGTCAGCATTTAGAAAACACTGCTTCATTTTGCTAAATATGAGATACTTTAACACTTCCTTTAACAACTTTAGGCAGCACTGAGCATTGAATGATGAGTGAATTAGTCTTCTGCAAAGCATTTACTGGAAAAGCTATCAGCAGAATGTGAAGAAACAACTGTGGTACAATGTCCATCCTTTATATACAGTCAATGTTATCCATGTTATCGTATTCTAGTTACCATAATTGTCGGGCTATAAGCCGC